CTGTCACCCAGTGCCAGGTAGTGGATTTTTTTTTCTTCGAGCGCTTCCTCCACATTGGCCAGATCGATAATTTCCGGTCTGGTTTTATCTGGCGACAGTTCGTCCACCTGTCCATGCGCCACCATTATTCTGGTGGTGGCGGTGGGTTCGAGGGTGGTGATCAACTGGCGACAAAGGTCGTGGCTGGGGTGTTTGGTCAGCCAGGGTGCGCCAACGATCTCTACGTCTGGACACTGAGGAATTCTGTGGGGCTGGCCATCGTTGAGGACAAATATATTTTCCGCTGCTTGTTTGAATTCTTCAGTGAGGAAGATGGAACTGTTGTCCAGCGGGTCGTGATTTCCAGGTAACAGGAATACAGGCACCGGTACAGTGCGCAGCGCCTCCAGCGAGCGCGTAACCGTCTGGCGACTTAACTGGTTGGATTCAAACACGTCACCTGCAACGACAATGAACGCTGCGTCATGCGCGCGAGCCAGTTCACCTATGGTTTGAATCGCATCAATGCGATCCTGACTGAATCTAACGCCGGCTTCTTCGCTCAAAAAAGCGCGAGTCATACCCAGTTGCCAGTCTGATGTGTGTATGAAGCGGATAATGGTTTTGTTCTTCGAAAATGCTGTTTAGCGCGAGAGTCATATCTTCACACTTTTGGCTGGCTATCGCGTAGGTTTTTTTCCACGGCCTGATTCAGGTATCGCAAACGGGTTTTAGGGCCTGGTTCACAGACTCGCCTTTGTCAGCTATCCGGCCGATTTTTCTGGCTATGCTTTAGGCAATAACCAGGTCGATCTAATGACTACAAATCAACCGCTGTTTGCCCGGCAGCCTATTTTTGATGCTCAACTCAATGTGGTTGCCCACGAATTGCTGTTTCGAGGTGTGGCAACAACCGGTGAAGCTGCAACGGCGGAAGTGCTCCTGTCGGCGCTGGACCAGTCGATATTTGATGCGCATGGCGGTGGCCTGCCGGTATTTGTCAATTTTCCGGCGCAGATACTGTTACATATGCCGCTGCTGGATAAATCAAAGCTGGTGGTCGAAATTCTAGAAGACGTAGAAGTCACGCAGGATCTGGTTTCGGCGGTAAAAGCCTTACACGATGAAGGCTATCGCATTGCACTGGACGACTACATCCATGCACCCGAGTTCGAGCCATTATTGGATGTCGCGGACATCATTAAACTTGATGTGCTGGCTGTGTGCGGTGATGAGTTGGACGACCTGGCGCTGACCTTACGTAAACCAGGCCGACAGCTGCTGGCTGAAAAAGTAGAAAACCATGCGGTTTATGAGCAATGCCAGTTGCTGGGTATGGATTACTATCAGGGTTTTTTCTTCGCAAAACCCAATATTGTGCACGGCGCGGTTGTGAGTGCTGATCAGGGTGCGGTTCTGAATCTGCTGGTTGCGCTACAGGATCCGGATATAACGCCGGATCAGCTGGAAGTTATAGTGCTCAGCGACGCTGTGCTTACCTACCGAATCATCAAACTGGTTAACAGCGCACACTATCGGCGGGCTCATGAAATCACGAGCGTGGCTGCTGCCATAACCATGCTTGGCCTGCGTCAGATTTCAGCGTTCGCCAGCTTGTTCAGTCTTTCGACCCTGGACGAAAAACCAACGGAGTTGAGTTTGTATACTGCAATGCGTGCAGACCTTTGTCAGCGTATCGGATTGGCGCACAACCTGCCGTATGCGCCAGAGAATCTGTTTGTGCTGGGTGTGTTGTCCTGTACGGAAGCCTATTTTGATCAGTCGATGCTTACCCTGACAGCAAATCTGCCGATAAGCGGTGAGTTGAAAGAGGCTTTGTGTTCGCGAGAAGGGTGTCTCGGTGCGCTGCTCAATATTGCGCAGAACTACCAGGAAGGCAATTGGTCAGGCAACAACTGGGAACACCTTGGCCAATATTCGTTCAAGGCAGAAGCTGCGGACGCTGCTTACCAGGAAAGCCTGATATGGCTTGCAGAGCATCGTCAGCAGATTCTGCGCAACCGTTAGTGGGTTGTTTTGCTTAAGTCGAACGTTTGCGTAAGCGTCGCATACCACTGAGCCACCGATCGATGTTGTCACCTTTACGTCGCACGTAGTCTTCAACCTCGGGATGAGGAAGCACGTAGAAACGTTCTTCAGCAATAGCTTCAACCACAGTCTGTGCCAGCTGCTCGGGCTCAATGATGCCGTCCGTCTGTCCATCCCCCAGGCTTCTGGGTGCCATCGCTGTGTTGACACCTTGTGGACACAGGACGGAAACGCGAATGCCTTCGTCGCCGTGGGTAATAGACAGGAACTCAGCAAGTTTGACCGCTGCGGCTTTACTCACGGTGTAGGGGCCTGAACCGATTGCTGCCAGTAAACCTGCTGCAGATGCGGTATTGAGCAGGTAGCCTTCACCCCGTTCCAGCATACCCGGCAGTACAGCTCGCGCCGCATACAGGTGCGACATGACGTGCAGCTCCCACTGCTGTTGCCAGACTTCATTGGGTGCATCGGTCAGCAGACCCTGGCCGCCGGCGCCGGCATTGGAACAGAACAGGTCTATGTGTCCATGTTTCTGCAGCACGCGTTCAACCAAGGTCTGCACATCATTCTCCCGGGTGACATTGCAGGCGTAACCCTCACAGCCGATGTCAGCAGCCGCTGCTTGCACCGCCTGCTCGTCCAGATCGGCAAGCACCACCGCTTCAGCCCCCTGGCTTAAAAACGCTTTTGCCATGGCTTGCCCGATGCCACCACTGCCGCCTGTTATTACCGCCACTCTATTGTTCAGATCCATGTTTTCCTCCCTGTGATCGTCTGAATTCTGCGCAGCGCGAGTGGGGTAAGCAAGGCAAACTTCAGCCACTTTGTTAGGCGGGCAGATATAAAGCTGTTTTGCGAGGCATATTCTGTGCTAATAATATTGGCCTGATCACTGGGAAGGGGACCCATTGTGGCCGAAGAACTCAAACGAAAAACTGTTTTTGCCCATGGTGCTGTGGGTCTGCCGCTGGCCGTTATAGGTTATCCACTGTCGATCTGGATACCTGCGCACTATTCCGGTGGATTGGGTATCAGTCTTGCTGCGGTGGGTACAATTCTGATGCTGGCACGCCTCACTGATGTGGTCACAGACCCCCTGGTAGGCGAACTGACTGACCGTTGGCGAACCCGATTCGGTCGTCGTAAACCCTGGCTGCTGGTGGGTACTCCCATCATGATGCTTGGTGTTTATAAACTGTTCGTCCCGGTGGGTGAAGTTGGACTCCTCTACTTTCTATTCTGGCTGACAATATTTTTCCTCGGCAGTACCCTGATTGCATTGCCGCATCGTGCTTGGGGTGCCGAGCTCTCTCTGGATTACCATCAGCGCAGTCGAGTCACCGCCGCGCGGGAAATCTATGTCCTGGTTGGCCTGATGGTCGCGGCAGCCGTGCCTATGATCATCGAGATACGTGCGGATGGGGGCACCGGCGTGGGCCAGGTGTTTGCTACATTATGGTCAGATGCCATAGGTGCGTTTTCCGGTGACTTTGGTGACAAGCAGGCGGTGGATCGCGCTACGTTGACCGGCCCGGTGCTGATGGGACTGGCCTGGACAATTATTCTGGTGCTGCCTGTTTGTGTGGGTATCGCGTTGATGCTTGTCAAAGAACCGGCACGTATCGTTGCGGAAAAGCGTCCCAGTATTAAAGAAGGTTTACGCCTGGTTCTGAAAAATGGACCCATGCGCCGGGTGTTGATCATTGCCCTGGCGGTGATGTTTGGCGAAGCATTTCGAAACGCGGTGAGTCTGTTCTTTATCCGCGACATTGTGGGGGTGCCGACCATCGGTGCAGCCTACTTCTTTTATTTCATTGCTGGCCTGGCAGCCATCCCCTTCTGGTTGTGGCTGGGACGAAAAATCGGTAAACATCGCGCGTTCATGTGTACATTGATTACCGTGGCGTCTGTCAGCGCTGCCAACCTGCTGTTGGGATACGGGGATTATCTGGCGTTTTTCCTGCTCTTTGTGGTTAAAGGCTTCTGTTTTGGTGGGCTGCAGTTTCTGCCGATTGCGATGCTGGCAGACGTTGTTGACGTGGATACCGCAAGAACCGGTGGGCAACGCGCTGGTACCTACTTTGCATTCCTTGGCTTTACGGAAAAAATTGCCATCGCACTTGGCACCGGCGTTTCGCTGAACGTTGTGGGCCTGCTTGGGTTTGATCCGGCAGGTGGCGTTGCGGGCAGCACCGAAATCGGTGTCTGGTCTTTACGTATGGTCTACTGCCTGGGCCCGATCTTCTTTTATGGATTGGCGCTGAAGTTGATCTGGTCTTATCCATTAACGCCGGCAAGGCATGCCCGTCTGCAGGAGCGTATCAGTCGTCGTAACGCGCGCCTGGCTGGGAACGCGTCCTGACCCCGGGAGGCTTTGTCAGATTTTGCCGAACTAAAGCTCAGCAACAACCGATTGGCTGGTTGATAGCTGTTTCGCCATAGTCAGTATTCATCTATTTACGGCAGAGTATTGATGCAGCATGCACGTAAGCAAAAAGAATTAGTTGCGGCACTGGTCAAGAGCAGCATTGCTGAATTGGCGCAGCGGGATTTCGACATCACCCGCATTGGATACTCGCCTGCCTTTATTGCACATGTGCAGCGTGGCAGCTGGCGGCGGGTTGCGCAGTCGATCGATGATGTTAAGACAGCGGAACAGGCCTACTTTGCTGTGTGTCAGCGGGTCAATGTTGACCATCATATCTGTCGAGTGCTGCTGGATGACATCGCGGAGTGGCTGGCTCTGTCGCCAATGGTCTATCGTGGAATCCGCAAATCAACTCAACTGGAGAATAAGCGAAGGATTGCTGCCTGATTACGCTAATTGGGTTAGTCATCAAAGCGCTTAAAAAAACGCCCGTTAAGGGCGTTTTTTATGCCTGGCTGTTGTGCCAGTGCGAAGTAGGGGGGAGCCCATACCGGAACTGAAGCATCCAATGGGAGGGATACTGCCGGTACGGGCTGTAACGGAATCAGGCGGCCACAGGTGATTGGGAAGATTGGAGATGTAGTGCTTCCACCAGCTGGGCTGGTAACTGCAGCTGTGACGCCAGATTCGCGAGGTAACTTTTGCCCGCTTCGCAGGTGTCGTCGATGACGATTGCGGATGCGGTATATATTTCGATGCGTGTTTCCATGTTGGGGGCTAGAGCTGCCAGTTGTGCAGGCTCCAGCGGGTTGGATAACTGCTCTGATAGGGTCGCCAGATCGCTGCTGGACAGTTCCAGTTCAACAGCCTGTTGCCAGATGCGTCTCTGTTCTGCCTCAGACAGGTGTCCATCTGCATGGGCGGCCGCGATCATCGCCTGGATGATGAGGCTGGTGGTGTTTGCATTGTGGTTTGAATCAACCACGGTGGCAAAGTCCTGCCGGGTGAGTTCAGGTAGCACCTGCGACTGGGTAAGTTGTGCAGGGGCGGGAGCGGCACCATCAGCGCTTTGTTGCTGTGAGCCGCGATAGGATTGGTAAGCTTTGTAGGCCAGGCCGCCTACCGCCACCAGACCGCCCGCCTTGAGCAGTTTTTTAGCAGATTTTTTATTCGTGAATGCAGTAACAAGGGCGCCACCGGCTGCGCCACTGAGCGCGCCTGTTATTGCCGGGTTACCTGTTACGCTGCCGAGAATTTTGTCTAACGGCATAGTTCTGCCTCCGATGGTTGATGAAAGGATGGTGAAGAAGTTGAATGCTCGGCGCCATCAGTTCGTTTCGTTTACAAGCTACATTTTTTTCGATGCATGTCCTGTTCTAAAATATCTGGGTTCATGTGTGTTGCTTCGGCTGCATCGAACATTGGGCGCTAGGTTTATCTGCTTGTTGGCAATTGCCGTGTCTCTAGACTGTGCTCGAAATTAGGAGTCACTGATGGTCACGCAAATCAACATAGAATCAGAGTTAGGCCCGAGTTGGCCGGCCAAGATTGAGCGGCAGATAAATTTTGCGCTGGCTTCCGTTCATTGGCAGGTGGTACACCTGACCATTGAGTTGAAAGCTAACGAAAACGCACCAAACAACCCGGATGCGGAGCCGACGTATTGCTGCAACCTGCAGGCGGAACTGCGCGGGGGGCGCAAACAGACGATATCTGTGGTGAGCAGCAACCCTCAGGCTTGTGTTGCAGATGCGGCGGCGCGTTTGCGCCGGGTAGTGACAAGAGACCGGCAGCTGGGTCTCATGGGGCGTGCTAGCTAGCGAGCTTTTCGCGTGCGCGCTCTGTGATCTGCAGAACGGCGGGGTGTTTCAGTTTCCGTTCCGGAGAGATCGCAAAGTAAGATTCCCGTACGCTGTCGACCTTGCCCAGTTCCACCGAGTGGTACATTGAGCAGACCTCATCGGCGATAGCGGTGGGCGCGGGATAGACACCCAGCGCGCCTTCGCCAAAGGCTTTCATTAAAGCGCTGTCATCAAATTCAGCGACGACCCGTGGGCTTATCTCAGCGTTATCGAACCAATCTTCCAGGACGCGCCGCATAGGGCTTTCGTTTGCAGGCAGCAGGATCGGCGCGGCGTCGAGGCATTGAGGGAAGTTTTCCTGATACTTTGCCGCGATGCTGGTGTGTGCAAAGAAGCTGACGCCGCTGTCGCCCAGTGGGTGGTTGTAAGCTTTGACATTGATGCCGGTTGGTATTGATCGGTCCGAAATAACCAGATCCAGTCGATGTACCGCCAGTTCGCCAAGCAGACGTTCCAGATCGCCTTCACGACAGACGACACGTAGCGGGTCTTCCAGTCCAAGGGCGGGTTCAAGGATACGCAGGGCGATGAGTTTAGGAATTGAGTTGACGATGCCGACGTTGAGGGTAGTGGGGATGAGGGCCTGCTTGCTTTTTACTCTCTGGGTGAGTTCCGCACCGAGCATGAAAATTTCATCTGCATACTGATTAACCACCTGACCTGTTTCGGTCATGGCCAACCCGCGCCCAACTCTGTTGAATAAAGGCTCGCCAACAGCTTCCTCTAACAGCTTGAGCTGGCCGCTGATGGTCTGAGGGGTGAGATGTAACACCTCCGAAGCGCGCGCAATGCTGCCTTCTCGGGCAACGGTCCAGAAATAGAGCAGGTGGGTATAGTTCAAATGGCGCACAGTCTTAAAGCCTCTGTTTTTTCAATGTTCAGTATTTTCTGATGTGTAGTCTGCTGGAAACTAATAGGAAGAAAAATACGATTCCACTTCTCCGAAACATCGGTTTGTACGAAGTATAAATCATACGGTATTACCGAACTCAGCTTGCGCAAAGAATGACTAGTCCTTACTGTTGCGGGGGTTATTGTACCCCCTGATTTACACAGTAGGAGTGTTCCATGAAAAACGAAGTTGGTGTGGCTACCGCCCACCTGAATGATGCCGCAATTGCTTCCCAGCATGCGGTGCTTCGTAATACTTATCGTTTGTTATCAATGACTTTGGCCTTCAGCGCATTGGTTGCTGCCGGCTCGGTCGCGCTGAATTTACCGCATCCAGGGATTATTGTTGTCCTGGTCGGTTATTTTGGTCTGCTGTTCCTGACCAGCTACCTGCGCAACAGTGCCTGGGGTCTGGTGAGTGTGTTTGCGCTGACCGGATTTATGGGCTACACCATAGGTCCGATCATCAACATGTATCTGGGTCTGGCTAATGGTCCTTCGCTGGTCACCGCGGCTATGGCGACAACTGGCGTCGTATTCCTTGGGTTGTCAGCCTACGCCAGATCGTCCAAAGCCCCAGACATGATGCGCTTCAGCACATTCCTGTTTGTCGGCATTCTGGTGGCATTCTGCATGGGTCTGGCGGCTGTTTTCTTCCAGATGCCAATGCTGTCAGTAGCGGTTTCAGGTCTGTTTGTATTGTTGATGAGTGGTCTCATCATGTGGCAGACCCAGGATATTATCCGTGGCGGAGAAACCAACTACATCATGGCAACCGTGACCTTGTTTGTAGCGATCTACAACCTGTTCACCAGTCTGTTGCATATCTTCGGCTTCCTTGGAGGTGACGAAGGCTAATGGGCTTGCGCCTGGGCATTTATGGCGCCGGCCAGCTCGGCGCCTATCTGTGCCAGGCCGCTCGAACTCTGGGTATGACCACTACGGTGGTCACACCTGCTGCGGACAGTCCGGCTAACGAACACGCCGACCACGTCATTGTCGCGCCGCTGGATGATCTGGCAGCGTCCGAGGCGCTGATCAGTCGTGTTGATCTGATCACCTTTGAACTTGAAGATATCGCCTCCCCAGTGCTGGATCGGCTTGCCGAGGCCAATGCGCAGGGTGACGTGGAGGTTTTTCCAAAGGTAGAGCATCTGCGGCTGCTGCAGAACAAGTGTTTACAGAAACGCTGGTTTGTTGAGCACCAGCTGCCCACTGCAAAGTTTATCGATTGTCCTGCGGAAGCAAACATCAGCACCCTGGCCGCAGAGTTTGGCCTGCCCTTTGTACAGAAAACCCACAGGGGTGGTTACGATGGGCGCGGTGTGCAGGTGATCCGTGAAGTGGATGGCGCAGATTGTCTCTGGCCGACGGCGACAATTATTGAAGAATTTATTGCGCCACGTCGGGAACTTGCGGTATTGGTGGCGCGCAATACTGCTGGTGAAGAATCTGTTTTTCCCGTTGTCGAGATGGACTTTAACGAACAAGGACACATCCTCAGCCACGTCCTTTCACCCGCATCCTTACCTGTCGAAATTTCCAGCGAGGCACAGCAGATAGCTCTGCAGTTTATCCGTCAGCTCAGCGGTGTTGGTCTGTTTGCAGTCGAGATGTTTCTACGCAACGACAAAGAACTGTTGATCAATGAAGTTGCACCACGTGTTCATAATTCAGGCCACCTCACTATTGAAGCCCACCAGACTTCACAATACGAACAACACCTGCGTGCAATTGCAGGCTTACCATTGGGTTCTACCAAGCAAATGGAACCTTCAGCCATGGTCAATATCCTCTACGATAATGCTATTGAAGCAGCCTGCGCGCGCGGGCATGGCGTTATTGCTGCCGGGAACAATACAAATGTGCACTGGTATGGTAAGAAGGGCACGCATCTGCTCAGGAAGATGGGCCACATCACAAGCACTGCGCAATCCATAGAAGAAGCTCAGCAAAATGTCGATGAGGCGCTCGCCGCGTTGGCATCCTGAGTCGTCGTATCAGTTAAGTAGGGGGTGGGGTGACGAAAGTCAGTATTATAATGGGCAGCGACTCAGACCTGCCGATTATGAGTGCAGCGCGCGATGTGCTGGAAGAATTGGGCGTGGCGTGGGAAATGGCAATAGTCAGTGCTCACCGTACACCTCAACGTATGTACGAATTTGCCCTGGCAGCGGAGGACAATGGTATATCGGTGATCATCGCGGGTGCTGGTGGCGCCGCTCATCTGCCTGGAATGGTTGCATCGCTTACACCTGTGCCCGTGATTGGCGTACCGGTCAGTGCGACCAAGCTTAACGGCCAGGATTCACTGCTCTCGATTGTGCAGATGCCCGCGGGCATTCCTGTAGCTACTGTGGCGATTGATAATGCACGTAATGCAGGCATTCTGGCTGCGCAGATTATTGGCGTGTCAGACTCAAAGGTTCGCACGGCGATCAAAGCGTTCCGCGCCGCAATGACCCGACAGGTTGAAATAAAAGCTGAAAAGCTGGCGGGAAGTTAGTCTTGGACGCACTGTTTCTCTCCAATATTACCTCGCCGCCGCTGCTCTTTTTCATGTTAGGCGCGGCGGCGACGTTGCTGCGCAGCGACCTCGAGATACCGGAGCAGGTTGCCAAATTCCTGTCGCTGTATCTGCTGTTTGCCATTGGCTTTAAAGGCGGCGTGGCGCTGGCTGAAAGCCCGCTGGACTTTGAAGTAGCAAAAGGTCTGCTGACAGCTTTGTTAATGGCGTCGGTGGTGCCGGTTTATGTTTTCTACCTGTTGCGCAGAAAGATGTCGACAGCAGATGCGGCTGCCACTGCAGCAACCTACGGTTCAATCAGCGCAGTAACCTTTGTCACCTGTACCAGCTACCTTGACGCAAATGGTGTGGCGTGGAGTGGTCATCTGGTCGCCGCGATGGCGCTGATGGAGTCGCCGGCCATCATTATTGGCTTGCTCCTGTATCGCATTTATCAGTCAAAAGAAGAGCGGGATCAGCCTGAACTCATCGCGCCGGGAGAGCTGGTGCGTGAATCATTTCTGAATGGGTCTGTGTTCCTGATCATGGGGAGCCTGATCATCGGCTGGATTGCCGGGCCCGTTGGAAAAGCTCAGATCAGTCCACTGGTGAATGATCTGTTTATAGGTGTGTTGTGTCTGTTTTTGCTGGATATGGGTATTGTTGCGATGCGCCGGTTGCAGGATATGCGCAGTTCGGAGCGCGGACTGAGCAGCTTGGGCATGGTGGCGTGGGGTATCGCTTTGCCACTTCTGAACGCATCCATTGCGGTTGGTTTAGCGGTGTTGATAGATTTGCCTGAGGGTGATGCGGTCCTGCTGATTGTTTTGTGTGCCAGTGCTTCGTACATCGCCGTGCCCGCAGCCATGCGCCTGGCGCTACCCGAAGCGAATCCGAGCGTTTATCTCGCCCTGTCTCTGGCCGTCACTTTCCCCTTCAATTTGCTGGTCGGCATTCCCCTTTACCATCAGGCAGTCAATTGGCTGGCCTGATTCATGCAGGTGCATATTTATGAAACCGTGTAAGCGAATCGAAATTGTTATCGAACAGCCTCTGGCACAGCGTATGGCTAAACTTCTGGTGAAGCTGCAGGCGCCCGGATATACCCTCATAGATCACGCTGGAGGGAGTGGCGACCGTGGCTTACGTCGCGCGGACGAACCTACCGGTACGTCAACCAACTGTGTTTTCATTATTGCCTGTGACGATCCTGAGATCACCGACCAGATTGTTAACGGTGTGCGCAGCATGCTGACCCGCTCTGGTGGCATCTGTCTGGTCAGCGACGCGCAATGGTTGCGACACTGATCGCTTGTTGGACACGTCTGCGGTGCTCTGAAAAATCGAAAAGCACGTGGCTCGAGTCGGCTCAGCTTTTACTGACAGCCCAGGGTTGTCAGCCTGATGAGGGGTTAAGCGTGTTCTGCGCCGAAGCAAAGCGTGCAAGGTTCAAATCCTGACGGACAACCTGACCGATCTCAGCCTGCATGTCATCGACGGGGATACCAATCGAATCCGCGATACGGGTCATGCGCTGAAAGTTAGCGGCAACACCAGCAGCATCAACCACAACTTCGGCGCCTGCGCGCTGCAGGAGTGCTTCCCGATGTGCTTCCAGTTGATTGTCCCGCCGTGCAAGGCTTTCCGCAAAGCGCAATAATTCGGGACCGTATTCGATGCCAACAGCTGCGCTGTCGATATCGCCATTGACGGCATTGAGGTCGATGTCGGTTTCAGTGGTTAAGGCGCTCACACGGAGCATGGTGGCATGTGCGCTGGTTCAGTAAAAACACTCATTTATGGCTGATACCCGACCAGCGATCAGCTCGGTCTGCATGCGGTTGATGGACCGATTCGGGTCACCAACAAAATTGCCCATACTGGCAAAAGAGATATATTGAGCGTCGCTGAGCATACGCCAGTCTCGCAGTGCATCGGGTACGAGGGTGAGCGCTCTGACAACATTGGCGGTGCGCCCATCAGACCATAAATCTGCTTCTGCACCGATAGCACCTTGAGGCGGCACTGTGGGTACAAAGCCGATATCGTCGCTGAGTACTTCGGGTTGGTAATGTGACGGCTCGCCCGAGTCAGGGATGGGTAGAGGTTCAAGCGGTAACCCCAGGCCACGATGGAATTCATCGATGCTGAACATGGCAACCACAATACCGACCAGTTCAACGTAGGCATTTTTTGTCAGACCTTCGGCGGCATTCTGCTCTATGTAGTGAGCGGCGATCCTCGTCTGATCGGTGATGATTCGGTGTATCGCATCTATTGCTATGTCGTCTAACAGATCCTGGGTTGTTTCATGCCTGCCTGGAAACTGATAAGGCGAAAGCGCCTGCTTGCGTTCTGTGCAGAAAGTACAGGCGAGCGCCTGACGACTCTCCGCGGCGATAGCGACACGTTGTGCGCCAGTCCACCAACTGCCGGGTTGAGCCAGGCGCTGCCAGTAAGTCTGGTGCGCCTTGCGTATATCGGGCCGAATTGGGTAGGGTGACTGGGAATAGTCGAAAGTGTCCATTTGTCGGTCCCTTTCTGGTTGGCTTGTCTGTTTGGCGTATCCTAAGAGGGTAAGTTTATCGGGAAATGCCGCTATTCTACAAAGCTTGTTGAACAGGCTCAGTCTTGAACTGGTATTGAAATTAAATAAGGGATTGAAATGTCTTTACCCAGAATCGCTATCAACGGTTTTGGCCGTATTGGTCGAACCATTACTCGTATTGCCAAACTGCGTCGTCACTATGATGTCATTGCGGTCAATGATCTGGCGGACCCGGATGATCTGGCTTATGCGTTTAAATACGACAGCATCCACGGCAAGTATGCCGGTGAAGTTGCTTTGAACGGCAACGAACTGCGCATTGATGGTGACCCCTTTATTGTTCTGCAGGAGCCAGACCCCCGCAAACTGCCCTGGAAGGAACTGGGGGTTGATTATGTGGTTGAAAGCAGTGGTCGATTCAGGCGTCTTGAAGAGTTGAACTGGCACCTTGAAGCGGGCGCGAAGCGTGTTCTGTTGACGGTCCCCTGTAAAGACCCGCTGGAAGCCACCATCGTTATGGGTGTCAACGATCATGTTGTGACCAAAGACACCCGCATCATCAGTAATGCCAGTTGCACAACCAACTGTGCCGCGCCGATCGCAAAGGTGCTGCATGACAACTTTGGCATAAAAAGAGGTTTGCTGACTACCGTACATGCTTACACTTCAGATCAGCGCCTGATCGATGCGCCCCATGCAGACAAGCGTCGTTCACGCAGCGCGGCCACGAATATTGTGCCAACCTCGACCGGCGCAGCTCGCGCCATAGGCCTGGTAGTGCCTGAACTGGCAGGGCGTCTGGATGGGATGGCCATGCGGGTACCTGTGCCCGACGGCAGCGTGGTTGATCTAACGGTGGAGCTCGAGCGCGATGTTTCAGAAACCGAAATCAACGAAGCCATGCAGCGGGCGGCGGAAGGCCCGATGCGGGGTATATTGTCTTATTGCACGGATCCAATCGTGTCCGGGGATGTGATCGGCGACAGCCACTCCAGCGTATTTGATGCGGGCCTGACTCAGGTGATTTATCGGCGTATGGCTAAAGTCATCAGTTGGTACGATAACGAATGGGGTTACAGCACCCGGGTCGAGGAATTGATAGATCGTGTTGCCCAGCTTGATGCCTGACTACACCTGCTTGGTGAGCAGCACCATGCCCATGAATTCATGGGCATCTGGGTGTCAGGTTTCTTTTATTGTCTTAGCGGCGATCTCCCGCTGAATCTCCCGGAGTCGGGCTTCAGTAAGGGGGTAGCTCCACAAGATCGGCACAGCGACAAATTTAAAAATTGCTGGAACAATCGAATACAAACAGGCCAGCCACAACAATGAATACCAGGAATTTGGATCTGCGATGGGGTCTGCCAGCGAATTGAAACCAACGATGGTTGCCGTAGTTGTACCAACAACCAGGCCCAGCGCGTATGCCAGTTTGCGGGTCATTGTCCAGATAGAGAAGTATGCGCCGCCCTGGCTTTTGCCGGTTTGCGCGCTGTCGAGGTCAATGACATCTGCAGCCATGGCATAAGGCAGTGCGCTTAATGCGCCGATAGAACTGCCTTTCAGAATCATCACTCCGATGAAGAAGGCAAATTTGCCGGTGGGAATACCCTCGAACTGGCTCTGCATACCCGAAAGCCAGCTGTCAGGTAGAAAAGACAGAATCTTGCCGAGCTCGAAGGCGTCAAACCAGCCCTGAGGTGCAATCGCAATCAACGGGATGAAACAGGACCACAAGGCATACCAGAAGATCGCCACCATGGTGGCCCGATGTTTACCTATCTTAGCGGACAGTTTGAACCAAAGAGGTATCGCTACAATCTGTGAGATGAAGTAGGGCGCAAGATAAAATCCGTACAGATCTCCCGCCAGCAACACATGTTTAACAAAGAAGAAACTTAACGAATTGGTCATAGCTGAACCAATCGTTGAGAAAA